CCCCCCCCCCACATGTGCAACTAGCCCAGCAACAACCACCGAGCCACAGCAAGAAGGGCTCCAGGTTCCCAAGCTGGGGTGGTGAGGGGTGAGGGCTTTTGCCACACACCCCTGACATCTGCACCCAGCCCCACAGTGACGAAGCCACTGCTGGAAGCCCCCTGGTCTCTTCTGTGGGAATGTGGGGGGTGCCACAGACCTCAATCCCATCCCTCCTCCTCCCTCCTTCTTCCATCCCATTTCCTTCCCCTTTCCCCTCTCCCTCCCAACTGCTCCGCAACAACATCCTAGAATGTAAAATAATAATAATAATAAAAACAAATAAAAAAACTACATGTTGATGTTAGTCTGAGACCAGTGTAAAGATGTTTGCCTGTAATCTTGGCAAATACCTTGTTTCCTCCATGCTCATCAGAGAGGCTGAGTGGAGTCTCTTGTGGGTGCCTATTTGGGCCTCTTGGCCATTCCTAGAGGTGTTTGTTCATTCATGCAGCAGGATGTTACCAATTACCTGTGTGTCCCGCTCTGTGCAGAGGCTGAGGGAAATAAATTAGCCAAAGTGTTGGCCTCTGCCTCAGGATTTCACAGGCTATTGGCCCAATAGGATCAAGTCCAGGATCCAGCTCAACTCACTGGGAATTCCTCTGCTCTTTGGCCTGTCCAGCCTCTCTAAGTTGGCATTTCATAGTTGATGTCCACCATCGAACTCTGCATTCAGCTCCCAGGAAGCCCCAGTGGTCTGGTACCATTGGGTTTGCAGAGCAAGCCCTGGTGACCCGCCATGACTACAGGACGCCCTGCAGGCCACGTCATGGTGGCCTCATCTCGGCTGTTCCCATGCAGCATCCCTACTTAGCCTTCACAATAAGCAGAGTTCATGTTTCTGAGCATTGCCTATGTGTCAGGCACTGTGTGTACCTTCTCATGAAACCCTTGTGCCAACCCTGTAAGGTACATATTGTTCTTAACCCCATTTTATCCACAAGGTCACGGAGACTCAAGAGTTAAAAACTTGCCCCAAATCTTACTGCTAGAAAGTGCCAGAATCAGGATTTGTGCTCCAGACTGTCTGTGCACAGGGCCTGAGCTCTAAGGCACTATTCTAAGCCGTGAGAGGATGAAGGCCTTGTCTGTCCTGGTCACTGCCTGGGCTAAACACCATGAGAGTGGAAGAGCAAGGGCGTGCTCCCAGGCTGTAGCTCCTGACTCATCCCACCACACCAGGGAGCCCTCCATGCTAAGCCATCCACATTCCACATGTGTAAAAATCAGTAGCAGACAGATCCAGAGAAGGGCGCTCTGAGACAGATGATGGGGGGACTGAGGCTCCAGGGGGAACTGGCCTGTCCAAGGTCACACAGCCAGAACGGGGGATTCTGCTTAAATTCTGATCTCTCCCTCATGTGCCCAAGATGTGGCTGGTCCTTCTAAGCACAATTCAGCTATTCTAAAAGCCTCAGAAAAAGTGACCTTCCCTTCCCTGGGCCTGTCTTCCATCTGTTGACGAGGAGGTAACCCTCCCAGCAGTGACAGTCTGGGATGCGCTACAGTCAGACCTTTCCCCAACTGGTAAGTGGTAAGTGGAGGAGAGGATTCTGTTGGTGCCCAGAGGCAGCTGGGCAGAATCATCTAACTGGAGAAGGACACACACTGGGGGAAAGTCTTAGATGGAAAATCCTGAGAAACACCATCCTCCTGGACCAATAATCCAGGTCCGGCATGTACTCAGTCACCTGGGCACTCAAATCCTGTACCAAGCAGAGTTCACTTGGGCCCCTACTAGGCTCGCTGGTGCCAACTCAAGCTGAGTGTGCAGGCCTGCGAACTCTCCCTGTGCTCCAGACTTGCTGGCTGCCCCAGTGCAGCCCAGGTTTTGGCACAGGAAGGAAGCATGACAGGTTCTCAGCGTTTCCTAGTGTCCAAACATTTCACGAAGATCTGCAAGGTCCGTGTAAGGTGACAGGTTAAGGCGGGACAGGGGCGGCCCAAGCACACAGAGCCCTGATGTAATAGACTTCAGCCGCAGGCCTGGCTCACTGCCAAGGCCGGCCAGCCTCCTTCCCATGGCTATTTAACTGTGGCCAAGGCACAAGGGAACGAGGGAGCCAGGGGCCAGACGGATGGAGCGGGACCAGACCTTCAGATCCCAGACACCAGACTCACCTCTTGGGAGCTGGCCCCATGTACCCCACCCTGGAAGCACCCACCTTCCTCTGCTCATTCATCCCAAAGCTAGAGTGGGGATACAGGTACCAAAGCCCGGTCTCTGCCCCAAGGAGACCCAATCGGATGGGAAGGCTGACAACACAGATGCATGGGGGGCCAAAAGAGGGAAGGCAGGATCTCCCCCCACACCCTCATCTCTACACCTACCCAGGGTATAGAGGATCCGCGTCATGAGGTTGAGGCCCATAAACATGGCCATCCAGCCGGCAGCCCGCAGGCCCCAGGTCTTCATGGAGTTGCTCTTTTGTTCTCTGCGAAACACCTCCTGCAGGACAAGCGGGGTAGATGTCAGGACTCTGAGGGGGACACTTAGTTGGCAGGGTAGGTGCCCATTCCAAACAGACCAGAGGGAGATAGGGGTAAACTTCCCACCCAAATCTAAGTTCCTCTGCCCACCTGGCAGAGCACAGAATGAGGCATAAGAAAACATTGTGGAAAGCATGTGCCCTCCTCAGATCAGAGCCCACCTCATTCTAGAGTCCTCAGCCCACGGCCTCACCTCCTCCACACTGCAGTGGGAAATTTCTGGGGTCACTTTCTACCAGCCGTGAACAGTGGCTCGCCCAAGTGTGCCTGTGGCACTGTGCCACATGCACTGTATACAGGATCTGCTCAACCTCACACGCTCCTCTCATGGCTCCGGGACACCTCACCCTCCTTCTCAGTCTCCATTGCTGTCCCTGCCCCTCTTCCTGTCCTCTAAATGTTGAATTCTTCAGCTGCTTCAGTCCATATTCTCTCCCAGGACATCCCATCCGTCTCCTTGGCCCCCTTATGTCCATGATCCTCAAATTTAAAGCTGCAGCTCTGGTGCCTCTTCCGGCCATCCCAGCCCCATGGCTCCCACCGCCTGCCTACCATTTCCACTTGCCACCCTTGCACATGCAGCAGACATTGGAGCCTCCACGATCTGCTGCTTAATCCAGCTTCTCTGTCTCAGCAAATGACACAACCACCGCCTGCCTACCATTTCCACTTGCCACCCTTGCACATGCAGCAGACATTGGAGCCTCCACAATCTGCTGCTTAATCCAGCTTCTCTGTCTCAGCAAATGACACAACTTCCCACCTGCCTGCACACGACGAAGCCTGGGGGCAGGCTTGCCTTGCTCCTCCCCATCCAGTGCATCGGGAAGTCCTGTTCGCTCCAACTCTATGTCCACATTTCCCCAAGTCTCCCACCACTGTCACCCCTAAACCATGCCACCATCATCCCTCAAGTGGACCACTGCAGGAGCCGCCCCATCACTGACCTCCCTGCTCCCAGCAACCCCACCATGATCTCCACACAGCAACCTGCCAAGGCCCTGTTACCTGCTCTGACCCTGGTGCCTGGCCAAGACCAGGTCAAGTACCCTCTCACCCCTGGGCCTTTGCATGTGTGGTCTGCTCTGCCTAAGGTGCACTTGCTCACAGTCATGCCTGGCCAGCACCTGCACATTCTTCCAGTCTTGGCTTAAATGCTGTTTCTCCAGAGAGCTGTCCCTGACCCCCGATCTAAATCAGGCCCCCGTGTCATAATCTATAACAAAAACAATAATAATAAATAACATTTATTGCTTACTACTTATCTGCCTCTGTCCTTAGTATTTTACAAGATTTTCTTATTTAATCCTCAAAATAACTCAATAAGGTAGGAACATTTATCCCCATTTTACAGACAAGGAAACTGAGGTTCTGCGAGGATAAGTCATGTGCCCAGGGTCTCACCCCAAGCAGTTAACTAAACTATAAGTCCCCAAGGGCAAAGACCATGTGTGTGATGTCCCTGGTGCTCAATAAAAACTTTTTTAATAAATGAATGAATGAATAATCCTCATAACAATCAAATAAGGTAGGGATAACGATGATAATAATACTAATACTTTTTAAAAATTTCTATTTTACAGATGAGGAAACAGGTTCAGAGGACAAAACACCAGAGCTCATGGTTCCAGAGCAGGTGGGAGGCAGAGCCGCATGCAGTGTCCGCGCTGGGGTCACCGCACCGCTAGCTTCTGTCCTGGGCTGTGATCCGGACATCCTGACTTTTGGGCCCAGGGTTTCTTCTCAGTACCCTGGGCTGCTTCCTTGGCTCAGGGCTTTTTCTCCCACTTGGCAGGGATCCCAGACCTTGTGGGTATGAGGTTGGGAGTAGCTAGCTGAGTGGGGTAAGGGGCAGTCAGGGACCTGGTATTGCTAAGCAGCGAGAAGCCCAGGGGTGAGGAGGCCACCTGCCCATCTACACTGTCAGAGCCTTCCCTCCCAGGGAGTTATCTAAGCCACAAGCCCCCTACTCCCCTCTGGGGGGCAGCTCTGAGACCTGAGCCTCTGCCTGCAGAAGGCTGGAAGCTGGGGCTGGGCAAGAGCCCGGGAAAGAGAGCAAGATCTGGACAGGGCCTCTTAATTTTACAAATTCCCTAGAGGGCCCTCAGAGCTGCCAGTGGAAAGAGTGACTCATGGCCCACTGGGCTGGGAGGTGGCAGCCCCTCCCTGAGGTTGGTAACTGGGCTTTGGGGCCACAGCCCGACCACACCCTAGTCTCGTCTAGGTACAAGGAGTGGGCAAGGCTCAGGCAGCACCAGAGGCCGGGAGGCTGACAGGACAGACTGAGGAATGAAAGGGCCACAGCTAGTCCCTGACACCTGCTCACTGCATTGACTCTTTCTGGCCCTTCTTGATGAAATATCCACCATCCCGTTAAAGGCAAGCACAGAATATCCCACAAGTGATACATTGTGTTTATCAACAACAGAGAAAATACAAATGATATTTTTTCTGTTTAAGGATTTCCTGCTTAGAGGAGAGGCCACCTTTTAAGGCACAGAATTGAATTCATCAGTACATGTTTGCATCCCTTCTTATTGGGCAAAGAGATGCCCAGACAGCTCCAGGGCCCTCTGAGGGGTGCTCACCCTCACTCAGCCGGTCCTGGGCATTTCCAGCTCAGAAGCCTTCACTGCCCTTCTGATACTCCTCAAGGATTGCGCCTCCCAGCATGGCCTCTGTCCCCCACGCCCTCCCCCTGCCCTCTGGGCTGTGGCCACATGGCTCTCCTAGCACCCCCGACGAGGTGAGTCTTGCTCTGCCTGCACTAGGCAATTCTTGCCTGAACTACTGAATGACCCCGGATTCCTCCAGGGTTGACCCCTTCTCTTCATTTGGGTCTTAGCAAAAGTGTCACTCGCCAGATGGCCTTGCTTGACCATCGTAGAAACTGACTTCCTGCTATCTCAGAGCATCTGTTCTCCCTTCGTAACACTCGGCATGACTTGTTATTACTTCCTAGTCTTTTGGGTTAACCCCTTTCCCTCCACGACTGGAAGCCTATGAGGGCAGAGTCTCTTCTGCTCACTGCTCAGTCCTCAGTGCCCCACACAGTCCTGCACACAGAGGGAGGTTATTATTTCTTCTATGTCTTTTTTTGCCTCATTGCACTGGCTATGACCTCTAGTTGTGGGGGCTTATTAAATAGCCATTGGAAGAAAAGAGGGAAGGACACATCTGCCCTTCATCACACAGGTGGCAGCAGCTCACCTCTGCTGAGAGGTCCCCATGGTGCAGGATCAGCAAGGTGTCCCCAGACTTGGTTGAATACGGGACTAGCTGGTCACCCCGCTGCCGGGCAACCACAGTGACCTGGTTGGAGAATTTAGTGTTAGAGCAGAGGGGGATGGTCAGAGAGGGACCACCACAAGGTGAGACCCACAGCCCACCCTCCTGGAACTGGGTGCCAATGAGGGAAGCGAGGAAGAGACCCCTGGGCTTCCCTCTCCACACCTCTACCCAGGGCACTGGCCCCGGGAGCTCCGGCTCAGCTGCGTCATTCAAAGCTCTAGGGAGAGGGCCGGCCTGTGGCTCACTCGGGAGAGTGTGGTGCTGATAACACCAAGGCCCCAGGTTCGGATCCCAAATAGGGATGACCGGTTGGCTCACTG